AAATCTTTAATTAAGTCAAATCCTGCCTTTCCTTGCTGCAGGTGAATACAATAAGATAAATCTGTCATTTGATTGGATCGACATGCTTTTTCAAAGGTAAACCAGCTATGATAAATGAAAAACAAACAGCTGTTAGCAAGCTTCAACTGACACAATGTGCTGTTTTCTCTGGTGTCGGATTTGTTCAATTTGCACTTGTGTGACTAATTTATAACCGCTTCATGTGTTGGATTAAACAGTGGTTAAAAAGGTCATCTCGGAGCGGTTCGGTGCCAGCAGCCGTGAATCCGTTCACAAAACTGGAAGTAGGTGCTTACAATTTAAGTGCAAAGAACACGTGTGCTCTTCTTATTCGACTCTTAACCTGGTTCCCTGTTCATACTTTCTTATTTTCGTAATGAGTTTTGTGTCTGTGTGTCTGTGTGTGATCAAGGATGTCTGTATTTAGGAGGGGAGGTGCAGCAGAGATGGAGAGATTGGAAGCCTGGTTATTGCCTGCGGGCACTAGGAGCCTGTTTAATAAACGGGTCTGGAGGCCAGGGGGACATGTCAGAGAAATGTTATTACCTGGGTTTTATGAATAGCCCCAGCTGGAGGGGGATCTAATCAGAGCGCTCACCAGAGCCTAATTCTGCCTCCGACTCTCATTTGTTATTGGGAGGCATAACTGCATCCATATCATTTCTTGGAAGGTTGACGAGGACTAGTCGGCTCTGATAAGCGCCTTTGTGTTTTAACAGTTATTTCAGTAGGATCGCCTCAGATCCGAATGTATAATTCTCACTGCTCTGTGTTTATTTTATCAGACAGGGACTAAAATGTTCCATTCTACCTTTGCACCTGCAGGATTTTTGCTCTCCCGAGGCTCCGTTTCCTCCAGTGAACTCGTCTCGGACTTGGCCGGGCAGCCCTCCCAGTCCTTTCATGCTCCTGCCTAATTCCAGAATCCTGACCTGGGCCTCCAACGCCAGCTCCTTTTCATTCTGGCCTCCGCTCAGTGCGCTGCGGCTTCTGGCTTCGCTGGAGGGTCAGTCGTGTGTAAAGGCCTGCCAGAGCGCGGGACTAATCTGCGAACCAGCCTTGTACCGTTTCATCAACATTAAGGAGGCCTTCAGCGCGTAAGATGTTTTTTTTTTCGTTTGGAAAATTTGCTAAATGGCCATCAAATTCCTCTCTTCATTTGCTCCTAATGACACACAGCAAAGGAAAAGTAATACTGGATTATAGCAACACAGTCATTCTAGATTTGAATGTCTTAATGTAACAGAATCAGTATTTGTCTGTATGCAGAACCAGAACAACTGAGGAACTAAACCAAAACGCTTTTTTATGATAAAATTAAAAGTTAGTTTAAAAAAAAAAAAAAAAACATTTTTGAATCATTTCCTCTTAATGACACATAGAAACAGATCCAAACTCCTGGATTTTGACAAATTAAACATGTTAGATTTGAATTTCTTAATATAATAGAATCAGCATTTGTTCATATGTAGAACCAGAACGACTGAAAAAAAAAAAAGACAAAACACACTTTTTTAAATGTTAAAATGAAAAGTTAATTTAAAAAAAACAAAAAAACTCTTTGAATCATTTGCTCCTAATGACACATAAAAAAAGATCCTGGATTTTACCAAAACAGTCATGCTCGATATGAATTTCTTAGTGTAACAGAATCTGCATTTGTTCATAAGTAGAACCAGAATGACTGAAAAAAAACACAACCAAACAGTTTTTTTTATAGCAAAACAAAAGGTTTTTAAACAATCTTTTGAATCATCGTGCCATCTTTGATGTTTAAATGAAAGTCAATTCTTGATCTTTAACAACAAAAGGAAAACTCTGTGGATCTTACTGGTTATTTTGTGAAATGTAATGTTTTGTCTAAATCGTCTTAAAAATTCATCTCATCGATGGAGCTTATCCCGCAAACAATACATTCTGACTGTAACGTTCCCTCCACACAGTGTCACGCCTTATTTGCATTTGTAGTTTCAAAATTATGCAGCAGTACAAAGTCCAAAAGAAGACACTGACTCACCCTTTCCTGTGTTACACTCCTCTTCACCCCTAGAGGTTCTCAAGGCAGCGCTGGGGCATTAATATTGAATATATAAGTCGAATGAGCTTGCATACCTCCTGGCATTCCTGCTACCATGAACTGACTTCATCCTCTTCATCCCTAGACTGGATTTCCAGTGTGAAGGAGTGGAGTCAGAGATGAACCACCTCTTCCCCGCCTTCTCAGCAGAACACGCTGAATGTGGCCTGCAGCAGGACCCGCTGCTGTACAGCTGCGCTGGCTCCAGTCCCCGATACCAGCGCCTTTGCCCCTGCAGGGACTATCGCAAAGGCCAGGTGGCACTGTGCAGGGACTGCCTATGACCAGAGGGGCACCTGGATAACAGCGGCTCTTTTTTGTAAGATCCAGGGCGCCCCAGGAGACTCTGTGGTAAAGAAGCTGTAATGCATAAGCAGTGACTGTACTCGCTTACCTCTGACCCAGGACTGGCTGCCAAAGTAGGTAAGGTGTTCATAACCTCTCAGGGAACTGCATGATTGTACTTTGAATCCGGTGGGTTTTAGGCCTCAGTTTACAGGTTTACACGACTTGCATCGTGTCTTTGTGGAAGTCACGATGTTGTTCGATGGAGCAGTTAGATTAGTCACAAGCAATCAAAAGGAAAGCTTTGATTTAAAAAAAAATAAAAATAAAATGTTGCAAATGCTTGAATTTCACAAGTGTGTTTACTCGGTGTCGTGTGAATACTTACAGTATCATAGTGGAGTTTGGATATTTGTACTAGATGCACCCAAAGCCATTTACACCATGTTGAGATGTACTATTTTACATGTCCTGTGTTGAATATATTTGTACATAAGTGTTATTTAATAAAATACAGGGGGAAAAAAATATTATGCAATTGTTCATCATTTTGGGTGGATTTGTTTTCTAATTCATTGCATTAAAAGGTGCTCAATTAAAGTTGAAGACAACAATCTTTTTGTTTTTAACAAAGCCAAATGTGGTGGAATATCCTAATTATGTCTCTGAGTGTGATTTGTGTGTCTGCTGGCACAGACTCGTTAGGTTATAAAGCAGTGTTTGGATACAGGATGATGGTGATTCCTGCGTCAGTGTTTGGATTATTCTCTCCCTTTATCCCTTATGCAGTTATTTATTTTCTATGACACCGTATTCCTCAGCACCCCTTTTACTCCAGGTCTTATAAAAACCTAGATTGTCTCTTCTAGATAAAGATATACTGTCATAAAAAAGCCAAACCAATTGTGGAAAATGATGGAGGCAAACATCAACCTTCTGTAGGAGCTGCGGTGACTGATTTATAGTAGCAGGAGATAAAATCACAGCTGTCGCAACTTGCCAAACTACAATATTATGTTGGCGTATCACTCATGAATGAGCTGTCATATTATTGTTGGCGGCGTTTACAAAATGTCCTCAAGTTTTTTCAAGTGAAACAACACTGACATGCACACATTTTTGTTAGTTTGGTTGCTGTAATTGTCCATTTTGTGTCCAATACAGATCCTCTGAAAAATGTGATGTCTGTGAAAGTGAAAAGGGGACAAAATTCTCGAAATAAAAATCGTGCGATTCGCTTGCAGATATTGACGCTTCAGCAGACTAAGTTGAACAAATGTGGAGAACAGTGTAGATATGTTTTGTACGATATTCTCTCCCGTGTTTTTCCACAGACAGTAGCGTAGATCCGGCAGAAGGACGGTAACACAAAGAGGCAATTTCATTCTGGAAAGACTTTGCAAAGACGCCTGTTTTATTTGTCTGATTCTGGATGCTGTAACCTCACATTAGCCTCCTGTGACCTTTTGGAATGGATTGTAGCTGAGAACAGCATTGTGTTTATTGTCCTCCGTTTCTTACAGTAGAATTGAATTAGGAAATGTCTCCATGGCCGGAATGAACAGGATGAACAGTGACCAAAAACTTTTTTTTCGGTGTGAGCATTGCATTAAGGTAAGAAATGTGAAAAAACTAAGTCAGTGACAAAAAGATGGATATATCCCACAACCTAAGAGAAACCGCAGCATTTCAAAGACTATAGATTTAACACCGTAAAGTAGAATAAAACTAATTTCACACCTCACAGCATGATGTCACATTAACAAACGTGAAGACAGCGAGTCGAGTTTTCTTCCAACACTTTAACCAGCTTTAGGGGTGAAAAAAAAAAGAGCTATATTGTGAGATAATGTTGGAAACTATTGTTGTAGAAGCTCTAAAAAGTCTGCTGTTTTCCCCCTCGAGTTTAAGTCCACCAATTTAGCATTATTGAGCAGCATAAAAACATTCAGTAAATGTTTATAACACACTATAAGGTAGCTTATGCTTATCATTTCTGCATTTTACTCATGTATTCATCAACAAGCAGAGCTCCTCTCTGTAGGCTGGAGTATAAACAGGTGAAATGAAGGTAATATGTGTTCATAAGACTAATTATTTAGGGTGAAATTATAGAATTATTGATACTATCATGAGAAGTTGCCCTCTATAATAATATTTCTGTAATGCTAAATACATCGTGAGACCTGATCTACCATGCAACACAATGTCTGTGCAGCTGAGGAAGAAAATGATTCATTTATTTATTGTAATGTGTATGTTTTATCATTTTTTTCACAGTTTCATTAATGTGTCAACACAGTTAATTAGCTCTCTGATTTGCTTTTCCTTTGCTTTCCCCCATATGAGTTTCTTCTTTTTTCACTGCAAGTTGGTTTACTTCCATTCATTTAACTCTTATTCATTTGATAAACACCACAATGAGAAGTCATGAAGTAGGGACTCTGGTAAAAATCCATTTTCATCCATATTTAGTATCTATAGTGTATTATAAGAGAAGGTGATGTTGTATATTGCCTCATTGGTATTTGGTGCCACCTTTATTAGCTGTCACTGGTGACAAATACTAAACATTAATAAACATTTTAAAATGTCATTACAGTATCATGATAATCATTGTGTTGTATCATCAAATTAAAACTTACTCGTCCCACATTAGGTTTCACCATTAACATGTCAGTGCTTTTCATTTCCTGTTGCATAATATGCAAAACCAGTATATACTTAGACCTCAGATGTAGTGTTTTCTTTTGTCCTCACAGTTATATTTTATGAATAAAAACACGTCCTTTTATTCCATCCTCCCCCCCTTTTTTATTTCCATTGGTTGTGTTTATTTGGGTTTCTTGAAACTCCTAAGAGAAACCGAATATTCCAGGCTGTTTTAAATCACCTTTACAGATGGACATTATAATAGGCAGAGAATGGCTGCAATGTCACTAAAGTCATTATCATGTGAGCTGCTGCTCCACTGAAGCCGAAACCCTCCGCTAAGATAAGAGGATTTTAATGAGACATCCTCAGAAGACAGAGCTGGAATTTGCCAGTTTTCATTTAATGACAGTGCTGGTGTCTCTTTGACTGATAGTAAGAACCATTCCACAATATGCCCATTTCTTCTCTCCAATTTATAATCGCTAAACTAATGTTGAACTTTCTCAACGTTTCTCACACTGCATGTGTGTGGCAGCAACAGTCACGGGGGGCTTTGAATCTTCGAAGGCTTTTATGCTGAGAATTCAGGTATTGAACAAAAACCTCTTAGACTTGGCGTTAAAAGAATATAAATACACCACTTCAGACTTTTTTTTTTTGAAAAGGTATTTCTTCACGGCTAAACCCACAAAGCATCCTCCACATTTAAGTACTTTTCCTTTCAGACAGAGCTCACCTATATTTCTGCTTTTCTGCACTTAAAAAAAAAATGTCATTAACTTCCTGGAAAGAAAGAGCTGCTATTGTAAGAAACTAACAGATTCTGCAGAAACCACTTGACTATGGTTTTACACCCTGCAGATTAAATGCGCTTCATTCGCAGGTGTTTTGTCCTGAGGACCTGTTGACTTGGACCCCAGACGGGACACTTTGCATGCTGCGGATCAGTCTGGCGCCGTGTGTGCCAGAAAGGATGCCGTCAAGCTCGGAGCTCAGCTGTGACTCTCTCAGGTAACAAAATGAACTCAAGTGGAAAATAATTGTATCACAGAACGCTTTTATCTCACAGGCTGAAGAAAAAAAAAAAAAAACATTTCTTGGCCAAATGATGACATAAAGAAAAGTTCACAGGACAGACTGTTGTGCAGATCCGTCATTTGTCACAGCGCCGCCTGGAGGTGTAAAGCTGATGAAAGATCTTTGTTATATAATGTATCGTTAAAGGGAGGATCCCTTTTGATAAGCACCTTCCAGTGGATATTAATAACCTGATTTAGCCACGTCGATGTTACTATTGAGAAACTTGAGGTGTTTAAAATGTGTTTTTGTCCTTTGATAGGAATGTCTCACTTTGGTTCTGATTTAAACATCTGACTAACTTGAGCTTGATAACTTTGGAGGCATGTAAAGTCAGGTGACATTTTTAATCTGTCTCATATTACGGCTTCTCATTAAATACCTACAAAACTGATTTCCCTCATTGTCAATAGCAGTTTTTAAATTTAGCGCTCATGTAAAGGTGTTTGCATGTCATTAGACTGAAATAAGAGTCTGAATATTGGTTGGAATTTGGCTGCAAGCACTGAAGTACAGCCTCACACTGACCTCCAGACTTTGTCACTATAGTGTCATAAGAAAAATAAAAGTCTCCCCAGTCTGTCTATAAACAGGCACATTATCAAACCTGCCTTATCGCTATCAGTTAATAGTCAACCCCTTGTCACCAACCTGCAAAATGTGCAGCGATAACACACAACAGTTAAGCCACTGACTGGTGAAGTAACACCGATGATCTTGTGTCTTGGCATTCACATGGATGTTACTTTGACATGTGCCATCCACCTAAACATTGTTCCAGAGCGAGCGTATCCAGCCTTGAGACACCTAACCTCCGTGACCTCAGGCTTGGACATGCAGATTCTCACCCGAGCGGCTGCAAACCACCACAGTGTGTGATGAAGGTCGTGGTCTGGTGAAGCTGAAAGAACTGCATTGTCTGCAAAGAACAAGAGAGCCACATTCTCCTCCCTCTGGCTGTGCACTGACATCCTGTTAGTTAGAATCACATACAGAGTCAGCGGCAGGACAAGGACAGCCTTGACTGTGTTTAACACAAACTGTCTTCTTGCTGAGAAAACACTTACAGCTCTCGCTGTGGTTATACAGAATACAACAGAAGACTTAAATGTCATATAATTCAAAGTTGTATTTCAAGACAAAAGTACAGACACTTAATGCATCAAAAGTAAATATCACTGAAAGATAAGTGAGACAATGTAAGATAACTAAAACACCTGTGATTTCCAATCTGCATGAACTTGATTATAAAATGACCCATGAATGC